GGCAGCTGCCTGTCCCGGGCTGAGGGCTCAGGGACCCCCACACTCACCCACGCACTGCAGCACGATGAGGAACTCGGACTCGGCCAAGCCGAAGGCGTTCGCCGGATCTTCCAGCACGTTCAGCAAGCTGCCACTCGAGCAGTACTCCATCACCAGCACCTTCTGCTTGCTGCTGCCCTGCGGCGGGGAGAAGCCGTGGGGGGGGCGCTTTTTTTGCCCACCCCCCCAGCCAGTGGCCTGTCCCCCCACCCAGGCAGGACTGGGTCCCCTCCCTTGGTCGCTGGGTTTCTGCTGCTTGGACAAAACAGGGTTGGAGAATGTCCCAGCTGTGCCACGTGCCTGGCCAAGGGACAACCGCAGGTCAGGTCCATGCTCCAGCCCAGTGCCCCAGTGCCCCCAGTGCGGGGGGTGGGCTGAGGCTTGATGCGGAGCTGGAGGGAGGTGGGAGGAGAAGGCAGCCCCGGACCACTGCTGCATCCCGCGGCTCAGACCAGCTCCGCCGTGTCACTGGCCCGGTTGGCACAGCGGGTTCCTGAGCTGAGGTCCCACTTACCATCTCCTCCACAGCGAATAATTTGACAATGTTTTTGTGGTTCAACTTCCTCAGCATCTCGAACTCTCTCATCTGGACCTCCTGGGGCCGGAGGTAGCTGGCGTTATTAAAGACCTTCACAGCAACCAGCTCCCCTGATTTCTAGGACAAGAGCAAAAAGAGAAAAAGGAAACGGGAGGTGATGCCATCCACATCCTAAGCAGCTCTGTCAGCTCCGTTACTGCTCCCGCATCCCACTTGGGATGCAAACTACTCTGACAGCACAACGTGTCTCCTGAAGAGGCGTCCCGCAGCCTTCGTTTTCTGCGCTGCAAAAGCAAACTGCTGCTACTGACCTCCCTCTGCTTCCTGGCCCCGGAGCCCATGTGCTACACGGCAGCGCGTTTATTCAGCTTCATAAAAAGTTTATAGCTGGAGCTGAGGCTGGCAGCTCCTCCCTGCAACTGTCCTCTCCTGCCCTGCACCACGCAGAGACGGTTTGCTCAACAAACTTCAAAGGCCGGCGAGGCGGTGAGTCCCTGTTCCAACCCTGGCAAGTGTTTGCATGAAACATGCAAATCGCCAAGGACGGGGTTTTCAGAACCTCTGGGCATTCCCCTGAAAACTTCTTCCCCCCGCGCGATGCACGGGAATGCCGGCAGCGGGTGAGCAGGACCCGGCTGCGAGCGCCCCGAAAGCTGCCCTTGACCCACAGACCTGGCTGGTGCCCGGGGCGGGAAGGAGCCGAACGAAAAATGAAAATAAAACCAAAAGCAGCCCTGATGCTGCCATCAGGTGGGGAGCTCCCGGCAGGGCGAGCAGAGGGGAGCACGGGCATCCCCGTGCCGTGGGGCCGGAGGGCTGGGAGGGGGCACAGGGGCAATGTGGCTTTGGGGTGGCTGCCCCCCCACTGTCCCCACTTACCTTGTTACGAGCTTTGTAGACGCAGGCCGTGGCACCCTGGCCCAGGAGGTCCTCGGTGCTCCAGAGGTAGTTTGGGGT